GAAAGGATTATAGGCTTAAACAACTATACACTAGCTCAATATGTCCGGTTGGTGTAAAGAATTCACATAAGCTTCTTTCGATAATAATAATCTTCTATGGATTTATAAGGGAAGAGATGAGCAGAAGTGATATTGTAGCTGAGATTAGATTCAGTATTCAGTGGGTATTGCGAACCACCAGACTGCCAAGCACGTACGAGGGAAGGGAGGTTTATCTTCTCCTGCTTGATAGAAAGGGAAAGCTGCGTTTACGTTTTAGGGCGAAGAAACTCTTCGCAAACATTTGCCTACTCTCATTTTTCATAACACATCAGGAATAGGATCTCCAAAACTTAGACCTAAGTGTGTAGTAGACTCTAGACATGTAAGTGAAAGCTATTTTTGCTTATGGAATTATTTCATCTATGGATAAAATTTAGGTATTGCTCATGGCTGTCCATAGAGTAGCGATATATTTTCCAGGATACACTGGTATAGATGCTCCAGTAGAAAAAGCACTAGTTAGGTGAACTTTTTTGTAATTTTAATTTTAGTGTATCCAACTCCTACTCGTTCTCTTTGAAGACACTATCGCGATCTCGAAGACCACCTTGTTGCCAACTATGCTGATTGGCTCCTACCAAGATTAAGGGAGAAAACTGGAGGCGAATTCACATTGACATATTATCCAGCAAACTTGATGAGGCAACTATATAGCAATGTGAAACAGCGCTTGCAAAGGGTATATGGAAAGATTTGAAGACTTGGACTCATTAATGTTATTTATCATTAAATATATCAGTATTCATTGAACAACCTTTATTACATAATTCATTTTTACCGGAAGACAATACAGTTTCACGAGCATTATTGGTTTACCAACTTGAATGAGGCTTGGTTCAAAAAACGACAGCTCTAAAACAGAAGAATTTTACCTACAGAACCGTTTATGGGGTGGGGCAGACCTCGACGGCGGTCTCCAGAGAGCAAGATGAAGTTCGCTTTTGTTTGAAAAAAGCAAAGAGCAAATCGTATAGAATCTGGAGTATAGCCTGGAAATTAATTATAAGCGCTCTCTCAACAATAGGAAGGTCAAAGCTCCCCTACCCTTCTTAGCGGTTGTTCACCCATGCGGCCTAAGTCCTATCTTATTCAATACTCAATTGCAGTAAATACACCTCTATGGCCGTTAAGAAACTTGCTCCAGCACAGGTTCAATGTTGTTTCAAAGCGGGCGTTTGCGCAGGAAATTTAGACGAATTTTGAAATATCCATATAAATCCATTTTTCTGAGCAAATAGGCAATGAACAGCCACTAAAACTGGCGTAAAGGTGCGCAACAAAGAAAGAAGAGGTTAGTAGTAATTTAAAAGAAGCTTTGCTCTTGTTTTCTTACTTATCATTAGATTCGATAATAAGACTGGCCTCTAGTTGCAAACGATCTGAGGAAATTGGACTGTGTCGTAAAAACCCTCGTTAATGCTTTCTAGTGGACACGGTAAAGTTGTTCCATGATGAGTTTGCTTTGCTAACAATGTACTTTGTCCTCCTTTTAGCAATTCATCTTAACAGCTCCTTAACCGTACGGCATCTAAGAGGAATCATCTGCACATTTTGCAGACTTTGTGAGAGCCTTGGTAACCCAGACCGATTTTTTTAAA